GAAGAGAAAATATTGTATTGCGTATTTACTCTCACCCAGCAAATTCAAAACAATTAACGCTTTCAATGAAAAAAATAAACAGGAGGCTGCATAACAAACTTAATACTACAGGTCTCAATCTGACATACGTCATATTCACGAAGGTGTTTCACTTCCCTCGGATGGAATCGACTGTTATCGGCTATGGATCTCTCTTGAGACTTTAGCTTTACTGATTGGAACATTGTCCATAAAAAAAGTGAAACTGGACTTTTAAGTTCAAATCGCAAGTAACGCACGCGTACTTATTCGAAGCAATTTATGTTACATCAAGTAAATGAATGAAGTTTTTGATTAACGTTTCATTACTCTTTTATTTTCCTTATAGCGATAAAAGCTTCGATACTCAAAGCATCCTTATGGAACATGTTGTAACGACAAAAATACATGGCTCTATCGGCTTGTTCACAACAACCTGATTTTTCTACACACCAAGTTTATTCACTAACGGCAACTCTCAAAAGTGCGTGAAACAAAACAGTTGTCTGATAAAAACAAATTAGATTTTGCCACCTTTAGCAGACTGTCAATAAAACGACAGGGTTGGGTATAAGTTTAATCCGTTCATACAGCGAAAATATGGTGACTAATTATCGGCTATCATAACGGGTCATGCTGACGTGTGATATCCCGGATACCAGTATTATGTAACATGAAACAGGGTACATTTTGTAGAATATTTTCGGAAATCTTTACATATATATATATATATATATATATATATATTTGTGTGTGTAGTACTGGATATTCACATAATTGTATGCTTTGTAAGGAGGTGTTCGTCCCCCATAGGATTTCCAGTGATATTAAGATAAGCTTAATTTCACTGGACTCCCCACGGGAAAGGTGATCTACTTTCAGACTTCATTTCTTATTGGGTTTATCCTGTTTGGTAATTTCTTTTTTGGTCTGCTGAATCACTCAGGTGATCTAAATGTATTGGTTTATACATGTACTACCCCTCCGCCCAGCTTTTTAGAGTAGACTGAACCCAGCGCAACCCAAATTTTGTATACTGCATCAAGGGAAAAAAATGAAGCAAATTTATTAACTCAGTGGAACTCCTTTCCCATCCCACGAGGGCTAGGGACAAAACTATATGTGCAATCAATAAAAAAAACTTCACCCATACACATACATGTATACACATGTAGCAGGGATTCCATCGGTATGATTACAATAAGCCATTAAACTCTTAACCAATATTGCGACATCCATAACACCAGGTTTCAAGTTTGGGTCAAAATTGTTGAAATTCATGAGTTTCATAAATCTTTATCTATGATTATGAAGCAGACATACATTAATTTATGCGTATCAAATTTTAAGAAATCTCTTCTTACGAGCATGAAGCAGACATTTTATGAATAACTGAGCTGTATAGTTCTTTAACAAAACTGTAAAATTGTTGAGTTTTAATCCCAAATAGAGAAAAACACGATGCCTGAGAGACAACTAGGACTCTGCACGAGCCTCTTACTTATTCTCTATTTGTCAAAAAATAATTGATCAGGAAATATTTGTAACTGGAAAAGCTCTCTCTCCTTCCAGGAAAAATTTCCAGATCTGCCTCCTCTTGGGTAATTACCCTTACCAAACAGATTTCTTCTTGTCCAGATAATTACAGGGCTTTTTCTTGGATTAAGAACAGCGCTTTTTAAAGTACATGTATTTATTTCCCCCTTTGATTTTGACGTACCATTTCAGTATGATCCAAAGACCAAACAACTCGATCCAGGTAAAAGTACTGAAAGAACCCCCCTGAATTTTCGAGCAATACGTGCATTTAGTGGAAGATCAAGCAGAGAAAATAAGTTTAAGACAGATAATACAAACAAACTTTTATCAAAAAAAAACTTTTATCAAAATTCTTGAAAATAATAACTTAAATCATGCTTAGATAAGTAACTGCATAGTTTTTAATTTTTTATTCAAAGTTTCACAAGAAAGGGGTTTAACGAGACAAAAAGTTGCATAGATTAATAAGGATGGTTGCAGAAAGGTAGAATTCTGAATATCGTAGAAAGTTTACATTTTCTTAATATTTAAGAAATTTATTGTTTGCATCGTTTACAACCAAAATAGGACCAAAAATGTATACCAATCCAGGCATCAATTGATTGTTTGTATCAACTGTCCTTATTATAACAAATTCCGTGCCCTCGTCTACCAAACGCTGACCAAACAAATCACTGCTCAGGGAATTGGATTATATCGAAAATAATTTAATTTTAACACGTTCTCGATTTTCTGTCCACTCCTAGGTAAAGGAGTATAACCACATTGTTTGGTTTCTAAAATTATTATTAATTAGAGTGGATTTCAAAATATTCAAATATTCATTGACAGTACTTCAAAAGTTGGATTAGTATATTAGGTCCTGATATTAGGAATGCCAAAAATTATCGCTTGCCCAATATAGCACGAAAGACACCGCAAAAATTAATCTTTTAAGTAATGTAGCGATGACATTTTTAATTATGCGAAGCATGAGGATTTTCAGTGTAGTTTGTTTTTTTCTGATGACTGGCATCATCAAGACATATATATCTTATAAGTTAAAAAATAAATTTCTGTTGGTAAGGCCTCTTAAAAATATAGGTTATTGCAGCAAAAAACATTGATTTCACGAGGCATTTTCGAGTAAAATGTATTTTTGCTACATGCTTGGACTTCAATTGAAAAAAAAGTGAATGATTTCTTTTTATGATTTTTTAAATATATTTGCGTTTACTTTTCATCTAAATCTAAATGTTAAGTGTATATATCAAATGCATCCTTTTTTCTTGCACAAATTAAGTTGGACAACTAACAGCTCCGTATTTTAATCTAGCCTAATATTTCAAACGATGATACTCCAACATATTTCCTTACTGGGTTTTCACCAGTTAACAACCGCTACTTAAACAGCAGTCTTTACCTCGAAGTATACATGTGGATATACTAAACGCTTGCTAAGCAAAATTTTATAGAATCCCCCCCCCCCCCCCCGCATTAAAGCGCGAAATCTTTCTGAAGAAATAGTTTGCGAAACTGATTAACAGCTTGTAAATCGATCAATATATCCAAAAGCCAATTCATGAAATGTGCCTGCATTTTTTTTTATTTAACTATTTTACACACAACTGAAACTTTTAAAAAGGGGGAAATTATGTATATCTCACGAAACTGCCTTGAATGCTTGTATTTTGGGAACTGTAAAATGATTTTGCCAAACTGTAGTTTTTCATAAATACACGTACATGTACTTTCATGTACAAAGGACATGTGTTTTTGATTTTTTTTTATGTTGTTTTATGTCCTTTGTAAGTAAAATTCTTTCGTTCTATATTCATTTTTAGAAATCCTTACCAAAAAAAACTGAATTTGCAAACCTCAAAAATAAACTGAAGTGTAGTCTTTTGGCCAAATACTGATGAAATATAAACTCTTCAAATGAGAAATACCTCATTAAAAACAGAATTACAAGTTACTAATAATAGATTATTACAAGTATCGTAGATAAGTAGCTTAGCATCTGCTCGTAAGAATTATCACTTTTAAGTATAAATTAATAGTCCAAGTACCTCAGCATCAAATCAGTTTCCATGTACATGTATTTTTAAAAATTTTCCAAATGGATGTTTTTTGCCTCTTGCAAGAATTTTTTTTTACTCGGACCTCTTTTTGAGGTAAGATCAATGTTAGGCGTATACTATCTAATTTAGAATTATTTTTAAGATTGATTTTGCAGCCCTAAATTGCAGGACTACTTTTAAGCTGAAAAGCAGTCTAAATATAATGGACACTTTCGATAAGCTAGTTCCCTTGTTTAAATTGGGCATAGAAACTCAAAGTAGTCTTGTAAACTTCAGATATACATGTAGGCAACAATCTAATTGTAAGCAGAGAACTGGACTATATATACTAAATATCTAATAAATAGTTGTCTGTACATTATGCCTGTTGTTAAAAACATACTGAAATTGCTTAAATACTAGTGTTATTCTTGCTATTCATTTTCATCTATTCTTTAACTTTTAGCAAAACCCACTGTCATGTTGTTAGGTTATAGCATATTAACAAAAAACAAAACGGAAAAAACCATTAACAACGTAACTTTTCTCTCACATTTTGAATTAAACATGACCATTTGGAGATGTAGATAAATGAAATGGTTCCATATTTTAATATATACTTCAACTCCAAACTCTCGAGTCTTTGCACAACAAATGTTTTCACTGTCGTACAATAACGCTATTATCAAATCGCAATTTCTGGTTTAGTACTTCATCTCCTCCTAAACTTTCGCCCCTCAAAAGATATGGTAAAAAACTACGATGCTCAAAAGTGAAGGGTTTGATAAGTTTATAAGAGGACCTTGCTCCTTATCAAAATTTGGGAGGTGTAGCGTACATACCACACAATACATCGTCAAATGAAAGTCGTCCATTGGTCCCGGATTTTTTGTTGTTGTTGATTTTTTGGTCTCATTTGTCAGACAAAGAAATTACATAGAAGAGCCATACTGTTCTTCAGTATAAGAACAATATTGTTGTAAATACACTATTATTTTTGCTTAGAAAGATATAGGGACGTTGTATAATTATTGTTCTCTTCATAAACTGATTTATTTGACGCAAAAAAGGTAAAGGATATCGAGCTGTCTTCTAGTTTTACGTGAAACAGATCTCTTGCTTCCACAAACCTCGACAGTATTTTATTCTTCTATCAGACGCTGTCAATTCATAATTATTAATGCGCATTATTGAGTATGGTCTTTTTATTAAAGAAGCCGGATTCGTTACGGCGCGCAGAATTTTTAAAATATCGTTTTTCGGTATTAGCATATTTATCAGATTGTTTGATACACATGAATATTTTTTATATAAGATGTTTTCCTGCTTGAAAAATTTTGTCGATTATACGACCACCAAATATAAGCGGGGATTTTTTTAAACCGTCATTTTTAAATTGCTGGGTAGTTATATGCTTATTGTTTCCAGGAAAGAGTCGATATTTATACAATATATATTGTGGCTACCTGAATGTGAACATGCTGCTCATTATATTAAGAGGAAGTCCATCATTTGGCAGTCTCCTGATGACATTCAACGATCCTATTGACAAGCAGACGATAGGACCGCGCGCGTGACACGCCTTCCATTCAGCGAGCGGAACTCCCTCTTCTTCACACTTGGCCAATAGAAATACACAGCTCTGAAATACAGCAATTAAAACTTGGTACAAAGATAGTACATATCAATGCTTGTTAGATTAAGTTTTTTTTATTAAATGTGAATAACTTTTTTTCCGAAAGGAGAATAGTTTAGTCTCAAAAGGACGTCCAGTATGGATTCTTCTAGCAATGGAGATTCTGGTCTTTTACCAGTGGATCCTGTGTCAAATTGTTCCCCGGGGGACATACCTAATACCCCTTCTGAAGATGTTCTGAACATGGATACTCTCTCAAATGAACACAAGAACAATCGGTTGTTAGAAACAGACGTTCGAACACCGGAATCCGAATCTCCCAATTCGAATTCAACAAATTCAGAGTTGTTGTCTGGTAAAAATTTAACTTTCTCGCCGGAACATGTAGCGTGTGTTTGTGAAGCCCTACAACAGAAAGGAGACATTGAGAGGCTGGGGCGTTTTCTCTGGTCCCTTCCTCCCAGTGAATTGTTAAGAGGGAGCGAGGCTGTTCTCAAAGCTAGGGCCACTGTGGCATTTCACCGCGGGGGCTACAGGGAACTATACGCCATCCTTGAAAGTCACAAATTCGATGAGACCAATCATGCTTTTCTTCAGCAACTGTGGTACAAAGCACATTACATGGAGGCACAAAAAATTCGAGGAAGGCCTCTAGGGGCAGTGGATAAATATCGTTTACGAAGGAAGTACCCCTTACCGAAAACAATCTGGGACGGAGAAGAAACTATATACTGTTTTAAAGAGAAATCACGACAGTCTTTGAAAGAGTGCTACAAAAGCAACAGGTACCCCACTCCTGATGAAAAGAGGAATTTAGCAAAGAAAACGGGATTGACTTTGACACAAGTCAGTAACTGGTTCAAAAACCGCAGACAACGAGACAGAACCCCTCATCAGAACCCAGGGTAAGAAATAACAGCTGTTAATCAGAATCCAACCAGGAACTAAGATGGTTATTAGTGTAAAAAATGTTTTTTAAAATTGTAAACACCCTTTCATTTTCTATAAGGAAGTCTAAATTTTTAGAAATGACAACAGAAGTTATTTTGTAAACAGAATAATTATCCTATACCGTATTCTTTGAATGGTTATTAATATTTCACTTCAGTAGGGCTTACTTTTTTGCCCAACACCCGGAAATTTTTTAAACTTCCTAAAACATGCAGTGTCCATGAGAATCTCTTTTTAATTTATATGGCAGCATGCCCGATTAAAGCCCTAATTTATCCTGAATAACAATATTAAATTCTTCACAGTTTAGACTTGTTATAAACCTTTGCGTAAGTTAAAACCTTGGAAAATCATCGCCAAATCTAGGATTACAAAATTTTTGCAGTAGCGATAAGTTGATACTGATGTCATGCTTTGTAGCTGACATTTTGTAATATTCTCAATTTCAACACCATAAAGTGTACATTTAATGCTGTGGAAAAGTTCCCGCCACAACAAAGCTTGCGGTAGGAAAATCTTGCACACATTTTTCGAACTGTTTTTAAGGACTCTTTACATTTAGTGGTGCACTTAAGGTTTTAACAATTTCGATACTTAACGCTGCACATTTGTAATGAAACGAAAATAGGAAGATAAAATGGAACTACTTCTAGACACTTACATCTTTCACTGTTCCTGAACAAATTCCAAACAACATATAAAAAAGGATATTTTGACACAAGATTTTAAATAATTCTGACACAATTCGATAATGATCTGCCAAAAAGGCAATTATTTTCTTTAATTCCAAATTTGAAACATTAACAAACTCGGCAAGAGATTAAAAATCATTATCTCTTTTTTTTCTGGATAACAACGTGGACCTCTTGGTCCCATGTGTATAGCGACATTTTTTTTCATTTAGCAGCTCGTCATAATTTTGACATTTCAACAAAAAACTCGTCCTCTTTAATTTACTACTGAAGCCAACAAAAGCGGGTAAACACTAGTAAGTGAATGGTGTCGCGAGGTCCATTTGTCGCTCTTCCTCTCTGTAAGAGCCGCCTTTTATTCAGTATCTAAATAAAAAATTAATGGGAAATTTATTTCTAATGACGAAGGTCAAATGAAAAATCCAGCAGAAGCCCTTATGGAATGTGTCATGCGGATTAAAATGGGAGGGAGTTTACCCCTAATATCTTTAGGATTTGGATAAGGCTTGACGTTTGCGGGTCTGGGTTTTATCATCGCCCTCTCTCTCTTTCTGGAAATTAGTTATAAGAGCAAAATAACATGTCCGATTGGTACATTTTTGTCAATGCGTACAGCCTCGTATACTTACATGTATAACATAATGTTCTCTAGCAGACATTATGATATATCGAACATACATGTAGAATGGAGTGAAATTTTGCTGTGTTCGCTGCGATTCTAAAAAATTACGCACACCAACACTGAATTTTAATTCCATAATGTTTTAGAAAGATTAAATCGGCTATATAATTGAATAGTTTAGTATGGTATTCATGCATTATACAGTAATTTTTTTTCTATCTTTCATGTCATTATTTTTTTTTTTAATTTCATGGTACGAATTTGATTTCAATTCAGTAATGAACGGTGCGTCAGTGATGGTAATTATAGGTATGAAAAAGGTGAAGATAACCGAGTTTCGTTTTGTTTTTGTCCTTCGCCTTCCTCTTCAAATACATACATGTACCCACAGCATTTAAGGCGATGAGAAATTCAACAAGGTGCATATTTAGTAATATCAATTTTGGAATGTTCACATTTCGGCGAATAAGTAATATCAGGAAGACCATTTGCATTTGTTTATTCGAAGAAAGTTTTTGCATCAATTTGAACTAAAATTTTTTTTACCAGTTACAACATTCTTTTTGCTGTAATTGATGTTAAACGGATTTTTGATGTAATTTATCTGAATATGTTATATCCACCGAATCTTGGATGCAATAAAATTTACATAATAAAGCTTTATTTTTTGATTTGCCTCAATTCAAATACCTTTGTATTATACGGAAAAAAAACATATTAAACCGTCCAACAAAGGATATTGTGTAAACCGAGAATCGTTGACTGAAATAGGTGATGAAGGCAATATTAGTTTGTATGCACGATTTATTGTAAAGAAAAATCCATAACATTGTTCCACAACGTCAACAAATACTTTGCGTAAATTAACTTCTTTTATCGTCTTCATAAAAATTGTAGATTTGAGTTTATCAGGAAAAACGACAATACCGTACAAAATTTAGCATCTCATAGAAACGCGTGTTGCGTATAATTAAATACGATTCGGTGATGAGGCTCAAAAAAGGCTATATTTTCCGCATCCTTTGTCTCGTGTATTTGAATGAAACATCCAAAATGACTAAAATTATATTTCCGGTGCACTTTCCAACTGAGAAAATTATACGGGGTGAGAAATAGTTAAGTTTTTAAATGCTTGAAGTTTTATCCCCCTCAGGCCAAACTGAGAAAATCTTTTCACTCGTCGCTGACCTTTTGGCTAAAGATGGACAAAATTGTAAGGGCCAATTGAGGACACGGGGAACCATTTTTGATCGACTCTCTTGAATCTAATAACTTCGGTTATGAACTTGATTTTTCTTATAAGTATCATTAACTCCCCGGGATTTTGTGGGAGAGCCTTGGGGAACGTTTCTCATTCTTTATGTTTATTCTCTTTTAATAAAAATCATTGACCTTTTGCGATAGTTTACATTCTACTTGTAGAGCTTGTCTCTAGAACTTTTTCCTTGTTGATATAAGATTCTCTCTCTCTCTCTCTCTTATCAAATGATCTTAATTTTTAACTACATGATTCTGCAGACGCAATTGACTTAGAAGAAAACTACACTGAGTACTGTAGAATAGAACTTTCTTCCAATTCTGGGCCTCGTGAGGCATGGCATATTATAAATATTATTATTACACATATGTGAATATGATTTTATTTCATCTTTTTTCATGACTTTATTGAAAAACAGAATTTAACCATATGTCTTTCTTTACTTTGAATTTTTTGGTGCGATTTTTTTTATCGATTCCGTTGTTTTCTAAGCATCCATGTATATATATATATATATATATATATATATATATATATATATATATATATATATATATATATATATATATATATATATAAGCTTGAGAAAAATGTTACAGAATTTCACGATAATAATGATGTCAGACATTTTAATCGATCGCTACCCTACATGTACATGTATATCTGGAGAAAACAACTAAGGTTTATAGGTTTTTACAAGTATATGTCATTCATATAATGGTTTTTCATAAACTACATTGGGAATTTTATTTTGTTTAACCTAAAAATAATAAAAAAAAATTATTTATAACATGTGAACATGAAGTTAAACTTTGTTTATGTTTTAAAGAGATTTGTTGTTGAAGAATATTTTGGTAAGATTTTCTGGATTCTGGATCAAATCCAAAGTCAAAACATATTTAAGAGAAAGGTGTTCTTTGACAATCTAATTTAGTAAATTTATTTATAATAACACAACTTGTTAAATGGAAGTGGTTTTCAAAATCATTTTTGAATTAATTGGCATTGTACACTTTTTTTTTTCGTGTTCCAGTTATTTTAGTATGATATCTAGGCAGCTCTGCTGTGTAAATCATAGTTTTTATAAATGTATATATGCATGTACTTCCACATATTAAAAAAAAATTAATCCTCAATCATGCGAATGAGAAGCATACCTAATGAGTGAATCTGATAAGTAAATGTAATACAGTTTAATTATTACTGCTAGCTGAGATTGAGACAAAAAATACTACTTACAACGGTCAGATATGTCAAACAATGAATAAGATATAAAAAATAGGACATTATCCCCTCTTGAATCTTAATGCAATGCTAATCATTTAATCTTATCATTGAGGAAGATATCGAGATTTCAGCAGAGTATTGTTCTTGGAAGATATAATTTATTGACACATCGTATTTTGAAGCGTTTTCATAATTTTCCAAGTTCACAAATTGTTGCATGCCCTGAAACATAAAACTACAATTCTGATTTAGCGTACGTTTAATCTGCCTAGTGGGCACATCAATCAATATATATTGTAAAGTCGGTTCCTGTACCCGGCATTCAGGGAGAAATTGCAATCAAACAGTAATTAGTCGACTTCAAAACCGCACGTAGGGTAATTCACGCCCCTTTTTTTCATTTTCGCCGTGCCATGCGGCTTTAAACAAGTATCTCTTGTTGTTTTCTAGGGAATAACACATGTTCGCCACCCTTTTACCCGTTTTAGATGCTGAAACATCTGGATATGATTTTTGTTTTTGTTTTTTCCCCTATTCTTCATATGTATACGCTACAGGAAAAAAATGTTATCTTGAACTACTGTAATATTCATTTCCAAAAAAAAAAAAAAAAAATACAACAGCTAAACAACTGTTATAAAAATGCTTTTTCATTTTTTTTCTCTCCCCGCGAGAAGGAGCAACAGCTTTTATAATTTTCTGGATATGAACGATATTACTGTTGATCAACAATTGATTAACAAGCTAAATTGTCATTTTCATCATTTGCCACCTTTAGAATCGCCCATCCGAGAAAATGTGTGTATTACCAAATTCGCGGGCTTAATGGTTTTATATAATTTATTATTTGCATATCTCCTTTAAAATCAAACGCCTAATAGTTTTAAATTTCATTTAAATGTTTTCCCACTTTCCATAAATGGTGTCAAATTTCGCCATATCGGCGTGTCACCTTTATCAATGGAGCAATCGCTCTGGAGTCCATCGACTCGAATTTCCTCCAACAAGGGCTGTCGTCTGCTTGTTTCACCTGTTCTCCCGCCACTTGAATTTTTACTTTGACAAACAAAAGATGTACATAGAATTTATTCTGTTAAATCTCCACATGATACTTGAATGTCTTTCTCACGTGGACAATTAAAAATGACAGATTAG